TATGGTTCTGGTCACATAGTAGTCCAATTGAGACATATTTAAAGTAAACCACACTTTTGGTCCCTGTAGTTTGTCAAGATTATATCTGGTCCCTCCCCTCTTCTTCCCCATGATATTGAAGACACTACCGGCCGCACACCCTTCACTTGCATAGCAAGTTGAGCTATCGAGCTAACTCACAATGACCTTCTTGCACCTTGTCTTCTACTTTCACAAATTTACCTGTTATTCTATAAAGATTTTTGATAAGAAAAACAAATTACAAGCATCAAGAAACCCTTCATAATATAAAAATGACATCGCCATCACCATGTTCTCATCATCTTCAACATAATACAAGGACTATAGTTGTAATCTTTAACACAATAAAGATTGCAAATATGTAATTTACCCTATAGTGTATTCTATAATAGATTTTTATTAGATGAAAGAAAATGCAAAAAGACTCAAATGTCCTCGAGTTAACTAACTTTTTAACAGACTTATTTTAAGTGATCAGATTTATAAGAATTTGTAAATCACAATAACCGCCGATATAATAAACAAACTATATGCACTAAATCACTAACTTTTAACAAAGCATATGGACCAAATCTATAAATATTCAGAAACCAAAAGGACCAAAGTTGTAGTTCACTCATATTTGTATTATAACTTATACCTCATGTGTCTGAATATAATTCTTACATATTATTATAACTTATAGTATTAATATTAAAATGAGTAAAAAAATGTGGATGATGGGTGATTAAGAAATAAAGAATTGGAAGAGGATGATATGTGAAAGGAATGAGATGTGTGACAAGTAAACTACCAAAATTGGTGAAATTCTCTCCCTTTTCATGTACCTTAGACTTCCCTTGGATTTTCTTTTTATCTCTATGTCACTAACTAGATGTGTTCATGGGTTGGGTTGATCGGATTGAAAACATTTGAATAACTCAATCTAATGCTTGAATTTGAAAAAACTTAACCCTACCCAATCCAACCCAAACCGTACGGGTTGGTCGGGTTGATTGGGTTGATACTTTAGTACATTAAAATTTTCTGTTAATCTTGAATATGTTATTTCTCTACTCATAATTTCTTTTTCGTCATTAGTCATTTGATACAACTTATCCATATTTCTTATGTATATATCACATTCAGTTAATTTCCTCATATATATATGAATAGATTAAAAATGTGTGTATGTGAAGGGTATATGTGATAATGTAATTGTCTAATGTAGATATTAACAGAAATTCAACAATCATATTAAATCTAAGAAATAAAAGGATATCAGGTTTTTCGGGTTAAGTTGAGTTCAAATAATAGTAACCTAATATCTATAGTTTAAAATTTTTACAATTTGATTAAACATCGGATTACTCCGAATTAAGTTATTTCACATTAGATTGGGTTGGATCGGATCGGATCAATTGAATTGGTCGGGTTTCTAACACCCCTACCACTCACAACCTAAACCTTTTCATTTGCCTCATTAGTCCACTAGTTGAGGTCTATATTACCTTTTTTTTTTCTTTGAGGAAAGTTTTAAAAAACCCATAAAATTCTAAATTTTGAATTATTAAGTCTTTATTTATTTTTTAAATAAAAAATCATTTATTTTTTTATTTTGAGTGACTAAAACATTGAACATTTTTCTTTAAATAAACAAACCATCGAAACGTAATTTAGTTATTACAATCTTTTAATTCAAAAATGTTCTAAAGTAAAAAAGAAAACTTCAATAAGGTTTACCGTTCTGAAATCATACATTATTCGAATACCTCATACTTAACACCATTGCTTCCCCCTTCCCACCCCTCGTTGTCTCATCGTCATCGGTTTAGGTTGGCGGGTTAAGTTTTTTACTCTAAAATTTTCTTACACAATTATACGTAATTTTTCAGATTAAAAATATGTAAGTAACCAATTTTAAACAATATTATTTATTTTATTAAAAAAATTAGTTTATATTTTATTAACATTCTTGTCACTGATCTACTCATTTAATTCGGGCCGCAAACATCAAAACTAATGATACAGAAAATCAACAATAATAGCAACGATTTAATTTAATATCCTTTTTTGTTTAATTTTTTTAATAACGAATTAATGTTTATGTAAAAGAAAAAAAAGGTTAAGAAAATGGAAAGATCCCGGAAAATCGCACGAGCATCCGGTATCTACTACCATTGAAATGCTCACACACGTTAATACCAAAAACAAACTTGTTTTTTACTTTTTTTTTTAATTATATTATTATATTAAATTTTATTCTTTTATATAATATAAATGATTCCATTATTCGTTCTACACCCTATAATATGTTTATCTACCATCATTTTGTAGCTATTTGATTAATAATCGTTAAAAGAATTATTATTTTATTTTTATGAGATGATGTTGTTCATTTATAATTCCTCAAACGTCATTTTGATATTTATTTTAAATAACTTTAAAGGCAAAAAATTATTTCAATGACCCTTCGGGGTTTAGGACACAAATTCAGGTCTTCTCGTTGTTTATCGACTATAAAAGTGTGAATTCTCTTCAGCCATTTATAAATAACTTGTACATCTTGTATAAAGAGTTGTAAAATCGAACACGTTTATTTTTAATATTAATGTCAAATTTATTGTGAAAAAAACTATAAATTAATGATTAAATTACTTATAAATTGGTAATAAAAAACTATACAATTATGGTAATACTTGATGCAAAGAGTATTCAAAATATAGTTATTTTTAGTAAAATATGTATATATAAAAATTGAAAAATCATTGTCAAGTGTCAACCACTTTATTATTTTAATAGATAGTCCCAACTACTAAAAAGATGTACAATAAATAATACCACAATTTTCCAAAATAACTGGGAAAAGCAATTGCAACTGCTTAAGGACTTAAGATGAGTAGTAATTATTTTAAATAATTTATTGGATAATCACACTTTTTTTTTATTAATTTGGATATTCAACCCGTTATAACGATCATTTGTTTTGCAGATAGTCCGGAGTCATTGTATTTGAACCTCCGTGGCCACAAGAGATTTTTATTTTTTCCTTGAATTTAAACATGAGACCTTCAGGTACTTTTGACATTTGGAGGCAAGCTCAAACAAATCAGACATCATCCTTGTGGTTGGATAATCACACTCTTCAAATGATATTTTAAATATTTACTCTTAGAAAAATATAACAATTAATATTTTTTATTTATTTATTAATGAAATATTCAAAAAGAATGTCAAAATAAGACAAAATAATGAATAAACATCGTATTGGTCCAAAAAATGCAATCACAAAACTTCATTTCTTATATATTCTTCAAAATAAAGATTTTAGTAATTTTTGTTAAAATGGGTTTTTAAAACCTTTTTTAAGATAGAGAAAGTAAAAGGGAGTGGAACGATTATTTTTTATTTTTTTTACCAATAAAAATCTCTAAAATTAAATGTATAATATAAAAAAATAATATTTTATAAAGGGTATTGAATACTTTGATTATATTATTCATATTGTAATCTCTAAAATGAAAAACTATTGGAAATTGATATAAATTTTCTTTGAAGATTTTGGTTTTTGATTTCTCAATTTTGGAGAATATGTTAGAGATACCATCTCCAAACCCAACAATTAAAAATAAAACACCAAAAGATTTCCCTCCTAACCACCTCTTTGAGTTGGCTTAAGTGGCTCGGCTTGGGTTCTTTGAAGATTTGAAAAAAATCAACTTCAACCACACATTAAAAAATACTAAAAATAAATATCTTTAATATTATAATAATAATATATGTATTTATAAAAATGGATATTATATTAATATTTGATTTATAGAGACTAACTTTATTGACCTCCAAATATATAAGCTAACTTTATTGACCTCTATTTTTTGGTGTCTTAGTGATAGGTTGGAGATGAAAACACTTCTATTTTTATGTTTTAATGTTGGGTTGGAGTAGGGACGGTGATTTGCCTTGACCCGGTGGGCAATCTTGTTCACTTTGATCCGAACGGAGACAGGGATTCCTCACTAAACCGGGTCCCTGGATGAAGGCCGGGGATCCTAGTAGGCTCAAACCGGGGTTGGGAACGGAGACAAGTAACGTATCCCCCGACCCATCTCGTACCCAGTATATAATTTAATTAGTTTATTTTAATAATACATATATTATGTAGATTATTTATTTTCTAAAATTAGGTTTTTAGTTTAACAATTGATTTGAGAATTGAGACACTCCAAACTCCATGAGACCATGACCGGTCGACCACTTCTTCACGTAATCAAGTTCAGTATTCACTTTACCAGCACAACAGGGTCGGGGATCGGGTCTAGAACCAGGAACGGGGGTTTGACCAGAAAAGAAACCACGGATGGGATCCTAATCCCCGTACCCACTTGGGACCAAGGTTGGGGCCAAAGGCCGTTAATAGAAACCAGGGGGGCAAGGATTGTGAAACCCTCCCCGTTGTCATGCATAGGTTGGAGATGTCCTTAGGGGTAAGTTCATCTCAAAACTTTACATATTCTGAGAACCCAAGAACCATCTATTTTATATAGTATTAATGATAAATAACATAATAGATATTCATGATATATGTCGTGACATATTTAATAGTAAATAGTATCTATAGATAAAATTAATTAAAATAATCATTTATACCGGTTGGTTTCATCTTTTAACCATTTATTTTACAAGGTTTACCAAAATAGTCTTGGATCCGTAATTTAATTTTTTTTACGGACCTGTGGAAAAATGTAAAAATTTTTGCAGACAAGAGCAGAAAGTGTAATTTTTTGTCTTTTGCTCCATTGCACGCATGGTGTTTGCAGACCTATAACTATTTTGGTAAACTTAAAGAGAAAATAAACAATACTAATAATGGTTATTTTAATAAATTTCCTAATTTATAATTATTCAAAATTATTTATGATGAATATTACATAAAACATCGACTCTTGTATATTCAAATATTTAAATTTACTAAATAAACTTGCAAATAAGAAAAGATGTTTTGAATTTGCAAATAGGAAAAGATCTGACGAAACGATATTTACAATAAATAAGGATTGAATTGGGTTACAGTATTAGATGAAGGGAAACAAAATTGGGTTTTACGAGATAATCTAGAATGGGAATTTGTTCCCCTTTCCATTGACATTTGTGAAGAACCCTACTAGACCTTGCCTGTACGGTAGATATGATTTCCTCTTACCGTCTTCACGCTTAGCTCTTTGTTGCACGTAGAACAATTCATGAATCGACGGTTTAGATTTGCCGGAAACTATGGAGACTTCTCCGGATTTCCTTTTTTGTTTCGGAACCTCAACCTTCTTAGGAGTCAACAACACCATCGGCTCCTTCCCTTCGCTGTTGCTCCGCCGGAGTAAATCCCTGATTCTCCAACGTTTTGATCCCGATCCGGTAGAACTGCTTTTTTTACATTTGCTAAGAGGCGATGATCCGATATCCATTTTAGGTCTCCACGCACAGAAGACTCCAGGAGCTTCACTTTCCGATTCGTCCGCTTCCGACGATGACGAAGATGCAGATTCTTCCCGTTCGGTGATAAACAATTTCTCCAACGAAGCCGAACAAGCATCTTCCTGATCATCATCAACCTTTCCTTGTACAGCCTCACGATCTCCCTCATCTTTAACCAGTAGATCACGGTTGAAAAGAGGAAAAACCACGCGGCCTTCGGAAGCTGCATCTCGGACTGAAACTTGTTCATCATCGAGCACCAATGAGAACTCAAAATCCTCTTCACCAACATCATGAAATCGAGCAACCTGTTCTTGCAGTAATTGACTACTCACTCTAGTGGCAGCCGTAGAGGCTAGACTATCAGAAGAGTAGCAATTAAAGCTCGGACAGAACCCTAAATCATCTACTTGTCCCTGATTTTGCATTCTTGCTGTTGCAGGAATCCCAAAAACTAATGAAGATGAAATTGATGTTTGAATAACAGAGAAAATTAAGGTGAATGAGAGAAGGGATTTGGTAAGCAGGGAAATTTATAGGGGGGGTTGGGAATGGAGGAGGTGCTTTTGGGGCGCGTGAGGTTTACAATAAAAACAAAATCTCGTTTGCACCTTCTACGGCCTAAAATAGTAACATCTTATGCATAAAATACTTTCTGCCTATAAAAAATACACTTTTACTATTGTATTATTATTAATATATTAATAGCAAATATAAACTAAAAACATATAATAAGTTATTTATCATAAGTCAGGTGTTTAAAGTGTTATTGATAAAAACAAAATATAACAACTTTTATTATTTAAACAAGCAAATATGTATATGTTATATATCACAAAAATAATATATATATATAAGGGCTATATATCACAATATGATACCTTTTGTAAAGCAATGAAAATAACAAAAATGCACATTATGATACATTTCATAAAACAAAGAAAATATATCGTGATACACGTGAAACATTGTGAATGTTATTACTAAGATACACTTCAATTCATAAACGTCTTTAAAATACGATGTATATTACGTAATTGATATACTAGGTAACTAATTTTAATTAAATATTTCCTTATAAAAAAGTTAATTAAATATTCTCATTAGTTGTCAAAATAAAATTACTATATTACCTCTTTTAACTTATTTAAGAAATATCCTTAAATATCTCAAACGAGTGGTTCACATTGGATCTCATGGTTACCACAAACAAAACAATTCTCATTTAATTAGGCTCATATATATATAAATATATATATATATATATGTGTGTGTGTGTGTGTGTGTGTGTGTGTATTATCAACTGATAATATTAATCAAAAAACTTATTTTCATTATAAGCAAAACATATAGACAACGGCTTCTGTTTTTTTGTTAACCACCAGATGAAGGTTTACGTTTTTTTAGCCATTAGATAAAAAATAACTCATTTAAAAGGATACAAGTCATCTTGAAAGTTATAACGACAAATTGAACTCATAAACATTAATTAAATAGCAAGATTAGAAGAAAGAAATGGTCGATAAAGGTTAATCGATTGAGAAACGCCGTTGTTGATGGTTTGGAAGAATAATAAGAGGCAAATAAGAGGTTGATTTACCTCTAACCAGATAAAAGAACAATAAGACATAAATGTCTCTGAAAAATTGGAAAAAAACAAACAGTCTGAATAGCCATAACTCTTAACGAACCAGACATAAGAGGGTGATAAAAGTTTTTTTTATAAAAAACAAACAAGGCCTAAGACTCATTATGAATCGATGTCATCTTTCTTTTTTGAACTTTTGAAACTATCACATGATACCTCATGTCCACTTAATTCGTGTAATCAGTATCATCTCATGTAGCATGTTCATTAATGGCTTCCTTCTTTTTCTACTAGCTCTTTTGAAATATCTATACGATTCACTGAAACACCCTATCACATATTATTTTACGCTTCTTTTTTTTGAACTAACAATCAGTGGGATGTTCAACACTTTCACATTAGGTAGCGAGCCAATGATATCATATGAATGTTTCCCATCATTTTTACATTATTTTTTCACTTTTCCTATAATTTATAACATTGAATTTTGTACTGATTGGTTTCATTTACAAACATAACCATTAGAGGTGGTTTCATTTACAAACATAACCATTAGTACAAATCATATAAACCAATATTATTCGTTCATCTAGTATAACAAGTATATGTTTCAATGGATATTTCGATTGTTTTCTAATACAAAAAGTTGATTATAAACCACAAGGGTGGTGCCTGATTGGTTTGAGCTTGACTCCGAAAGTCAAAATTACCAAAAGATCCCAGATTCAAATCCAAAGAGAAATAAAAATCCCTTTGTGGCCACGGAGGTTCACATGCGGTGACTCCGGACTATCTGCAAAGCAGGTGGTCGTTCTGGGATTAGTCGGCTCGCATAGCGGGTTGAATATCCAAGTTAATAAAAAAAAAGTTGATTATAATAAATGAACTTTAATAATTTTCATAAATATCTAAAATATAATAAATTAATTGATCATTTCTATAAATATCTTAATTAATTGATTTGTATGGTTTGACCCATATTTTTTTTCCAAGTGATGCCATAATTTGACCATACAAAATATCCATCTTTTCATAATGTTAGTATAGATCTGTTGGTAGGTTCCTTGTCCTTACATAAAAGAGACACATGTTTCAATCCTATCTATATATATTTTTAAAAACACAAAAGGTATATAAAAAAACAACAAATTTAACAACAATGAGACCTAAACTCAGACCTTTTCTGTAAAAGCAAAAGCATTGACAATCCTCATTCATTAAAGTCTTATATTAACATTTCAATTTTAAAAACTAATTGGTGGCATACAACAAAACAGTACGGTAACACCCTTCGAAAACGTAATTTTTCCCCTTACGATAGAAGTATAAAACAGCGATCCGTGCCACCATTTCATTTCATGTGGATCTGTTTCGTTACTAATGATCGGATTTGTAAAAAATTTATTCTCTATATTTATAATTATACATAGATATTGGGGGTAAAATTAATATTGGTATTGAAACCAATTTTCTTTGTTTTTAGGTGTGTCGCTTTCTTTTTTATTAAAGGTTGTGGCTTTAATAAACGTAACTTAAGTCGCACGCTTCTTGAAGGCCAAGTTCACACGTGTGTGTGTGTATGTATGTAAGTTGGCCCGCGTCTCTGCCACTATATCCATGGGCAACAAAAAGTGACTAGTTGCGTCTTTAAATACTTGTACCATGTGCATTCATTGCTGTACTTTATTCAACGCAAATGGAAAATACCCAATTTTACAATACTAGTACTATCTATTTAATTAATTAAGGGTCCACCCTATACTTAACCATGCATCCAAATTGTAACCCATCCTAATCGAAATTGATTCAAATAGTTATTTCATCATCTTAATCATAAAAGTGGTGTCTGATTGGTTTGAGCTTGACTCTAAAGATCAAAAGTATCAGGAGGTCACATGTTCAAATCCAATGAGGAATAAAAATCCCCTTGTGGTCACGAAAATTCAAATGCGGTGACTCCGGCCTATCTGCAAAGCAGGTGGTCGCCCTGAGATTAGTCGGCTCGCATAGTGGGTTGGATATCCAGGTTAATTTAAAAAAAAGTTATTTAATCTATTTCAATTGGTTTTCTAGTCATTTATCTCCTGAATTTATCCAAATGTTACTACGTCAGCAATATTCATATCTGCAATATCGCAGACCTGGTTAAAAGACCAGAAAAAAATCAAATTCCACCACCTTAGCAAGTGACCCAGTCACAATTGTGGATTGTGTACCTATGTTGAATATGATTTTTTTATGTTTTTTTAACCAGGTCCGCAATATTGTAGATGTAGATATTGCGGACATGGTGATAATTAGGTAAACCTGAGAGAGAAATGACTAGGAAACCAATTTAAATTGGTGAAATGACTATTTGAATCAATTTCTCCAATTTATAACCATCATATCATACACACTTCAAAGCTACACAGGAGCATACGATAACACAGATTATTGTTTTATGGTTCCATCGTAGATTGTAATAAAAGAAGAATTACATTTATAAAGAATGTGATCGTATTGTTTTGTTGGGTGAACTATATATTTATTGAAACTAAACCATTGGCGTAAGTTTTTTAATGGTGGACTTTGAGAAACTTTACTACCTTTATGCAAAAGGATCGAGCTTGAGTATATTTTTGTCAAAATTTATAATTTTTAGCTTAAAATATGGATTTTCTAACGGGAAATTAATTAAAATAATTATTTTCAAATTTTGGATTCATTTCTTTGCCATTTCTCTCACAATATTTCAGAAATGTCACTACCTCCACAAGTAGCAGCTCTTCAACTTGCGAATAGGTCAAAGTGTAAAAAAAGAAGAATCTGAATCAGTTCCACAAATGCAGGGATCAAATATGTAAAATAGTCCCAACAATTCGGCAAGTGCGGAATACCTTTATCTAAATTACAAATTTGGTCCCTACACTTGGAAAACTGGTTGAGAAACTTTTCTTTTACATTTTGACCCCTTCATATATTGAGAAGGTGCCACTTACAAAAGTATTGATATTTTTGAAATTTGGGGAGAGAAATGGCTAAGAGATGAATTAAAAGCATGAAAATAACTATTTTTATTAATCTCTCTTTTTTAATACACCTTTAGTTTTTCTTTAAATTTGAAGACATGACTCGAACACAAGTTTATTTTATACAAACAATAAATCAACCGACAAATATACACCAGTTTTTGAAGAATTTTTTTGATAGACGTTGTTTCTTAAAGTCAGATTGTATCACCACTTAAAATCTCTTACGACTTTCATCCTTGATCATACATAATTACTTGTAACCTGCGGTAATTGAAAAAACAAAATGTCTATTTGGTTTAAGACCAAAGTATATGAAATGGATGGCAAATTTTGGTTTGGATGAATGAGGTGATTTTACAATGGGTTGAAGTCAAATTCAATTAAGACGGTCTCCTTTTTCTCATGTAAAACTTGACTTTTTATAAAGCTTGATCCACTTCCCTTTTCCATTTTCACAAATCACACCAAAAGTTTATTAATGTTATCTTTTCAAAAGATATCAATATCTTTTATATCATTTAACTTTTTTTATTATCATAAGTCTTTAAACATTTTTTGAACCAAAAAAATATGGAAAAAGTCTAAAAGGCTTTATTGTTTGGAATGATCAAGTTATTGGATAATTTTTTGAAACAAATAGGTTATTGGACATTACAAAATCTGTTAAATAAATTCTTGGACTTTTTAAAACCTGTTAGATACACCATTATGACCTATAAAACTGATTAATGTGATTAAATAATGAAAAAACCTGGAAAAAAATCAATGAACTTTCATATTTTCAACGATCAAGTCTCTAAACATTTTTTGAACAAAAAAAAAATACTTACATATATATATATATGAAACAAATTTACTAAAAAAATACCTACAATTAAAAAAGATTATTGATGAAATATATTTTGATTAATAATAAAAAATATTTTGTCAGTGATTTTCTAAATTAAAAAA